GCTTCAGCAGCTCGGCCAAGTACTGCACGATTTTGATATCTTCATTGGCGAGGCCCAGCTGAAGCTTTAGGAAGTTCATCCTGCGACTCACAACGGATTCCTCCGGCTCCCTTTCGCTGATGGGAAGGTGCAAATGATGGCAGAAGGTGAAGAGGAAGGCTTTAGAGCACAGCTGGGTGAGGATGCTTTGGACGTGCATGTAGTAGGTGCTGCCGCGCTTGATCTGCGTGCGGTGGTCGGCCAGCCGGGCCACCACGGTGCCCTTGTAGAGGGGACAGCGCAGGGTCTTGCTGTCGGCGTCCAGGATGCTCAGGTAGCGGCTGTAGCGGCTCAGGGCGTGCAGCACGTTCACCCCGGCAGGGGACACTGCCCTGCAACAGCAACAGACACGTCAGGGCTGCAGGGCAGGCACAGTGAAGCAGCAGGGTGTGTTCGTGCCCTGCATGAGCTGGTGCAAGACCACTGTGGGTGAATAAAGCCTGGCGGGGATAAATTGGCTCTCCAGACTGCCAGATCCCAAAGAAACCTCGATTCCCTGGATTACCATATGCCCTGATGTGTAGTGTGCATGCTGCAGCATAAACCACCACACTTGAGGTCAGCTCCCTCCCTCAGTGACACGCAGAGGGACTCATAGGACACCTCTGGTGAACAGACACATCTCACAGCAGCTGGGAGCCTCCCGATGTGACTCAGAAACCCAAAGCAGTCCCCCCTTTCCCCAGCTCCACATTCCCCCCAAATCCCTTTGGGAGGGAGCTGCTCTGAGGTGGTCGAAGCCCTGAGTGGAGCAGAAGCTTCTGAATTTCCTAAAAGGGAGAACCACCCTGAACCCACAGCATTCCGTGGCTGAGCCTGGCTATTTGTCACTCAGGTGCAAATCCACAGCTCACAAGGATACAATTACCCACCAAGCTTAACCTAATGCTATTGAAATGCAAATCAGCAGCCCACGCAAACCCTTCAGCTCCTCCATGCTTTGTGCTGACAGCTGCTGGGCTGTCATACAGCTCCCAGCCTCAAACTGGGAGCCTCAACTGGTGTAGGGGCTGCCCCAGTGCCCAGGCAGCACCTGGCCATAGCAGACACAGGATCCTCATTGGAATAAATAGTTCAGCCTCTAAATTCCTTCCCAGAGCTCTCCTACAAATGGTTTGTGGAGAGCACCCACATTAAACTGAACACTTAATTAACATTCCACGGAGGAGAGCTAAAATGACTGACACATGTTACAAGCAGTTCTTAAATAGAGATTTCTGTTTATAAAAATGGCATCTAACCACAAACATTGAGCAACGAGTAAACACTTGGGGTTTTTAAAAACCTCCCTGACAGACAGAGAGCTTGTGAGCAGCTGTAGGCAGAGCTGTCATCCTGCCTCACAAGCATGGAAATGAGAGCAAACTCACAGTTTTGGATAATTTCACCATCCACATCCCCCAGCAATACAATACCCTGCAGCTCAGAAAGGAGGTTTCTGTGTTTTAATTTTCCTGCTGTTTACAAACACTCCTGCAGGAGCTGTTCCAGCCTGGCTCTGAGCACTGTCTGCCACTCTGACTCATGTTTTCCACACTGGTGACAGCAATGGCCATTCCCTGCCATACCTGCACCCTAGGCACAGAACACATCCTGGAACACACAAAAAAATCCTTTTCATCAACAAGGGCAGGGCCCTTGAGCAGAGCAAACACTCTTTGCTAATATGAGCTAATCTGTGAAGCCACAGCTCAGGACTGGGTGTTGGGAAGGGGCACTTGTTTTTGGGACAGTTCTCTCCCTAAGCAAAGGTTTCCTACAATCCCAGCACTGCTCCTGCACAGCTCCAGGGACCTTTCTTCCTCACCAGCACAGACTGAGGGGCTGAACTCCAATTCTGACCTGCAGATCTCATCACTTCTTCAATAGGCTCCCCTCCAGCACAGGACCATTTACCCTAAAATTCCAGCTAAAAATGTGAGAAGAGCTCCAGTAGGAGATGGCAAAGCATATAAGAGAGTCCAGGAACACTTGTATCAGATCACCCAGGAACCCAGCAGGACTCAGGTGTTTGCTCTCTGCTTTGCCAGGCAAAAACTTCCTGGCCAAGTAACTCACCTGAGGCAGGCAGCAAGTGCCCAGCAGATGTTTTAAACATTAACTGGATAGATACAGAGATAAGTCTACTCCTTTTCTAAAATAAATCTCACCAGCAGAAATTCGTGGCAGCTACGTTGGTAATTAAGAGACCTCCCCTGCACACCCACTGCCCCTCCGAGATGAAGTTCTTACCACACACCTCAACCCTACTAAACCAAACACATCCTTGCATTTACCTCTGCAGTCCAATCAACTTCCACTTCTGGAAATCCACCAAGTGCAGAGCGGAGGTGACCCAGTGCTTGACGGGCTTGGCGTACACACCACAGTTGGGCACGAAGATGGAGAGCGCCGTCACGAGCTTCCTGACCATGGCCTCGTCCTCTCCCAGCACCACCAGGGTCCTCCCGCTGAGCAGGGAGAAGATGGCGGGGTGGGCAAAGGGGTACTGGCGGATGAAGCGCAGCGCGTTCTGCCCGGCCCTCTTCCTGTGCCTGTCCCCGGCGGCGCAGGCCGGGCGCGCGGGGGACGGGGTCCTGTCGGAGCACGTGGAGGCAGCGCTGCTCATGTAGCTGGTGGAGTCCGAGCACTCGTCCAGGCTGCTCTTACTCACCTCCCTGCTGCCCGTCAGGTAGCGAGAGTCGAGCTCGTAGGGCAGCAGCCCCCCCGAGAGGGGGTCGTGGCAGGGGAAGCCCCCGCGCAGCCCCTGCTCGGCCGGGCGGTGGTAGGGCTGCGGGGGGATCCGCACCACGCCGTCCTCCTCGCACGCCTTCTGCCCCAGCTCGCCCAGGGGCTCCAGGAAGTTGGGGCTCTCCTTCCCGATGCAACAGGCGGCGTCCACCTGCACCAAGCTTTCCTGCTTTGAGACGTCGTCCTGGGCGGGCGCGTTGGCTCTGGGGGCGAAGCGAAGGCCGCCCTCGTCGTCATCCGCGTGGGGCTCCTCGTTAATGGCACTTGGGTAGCTCGCTTTGAAGTCCTCGGGGATGAGGGACTCGGAGGGGCACGTGCTGAGCACCTCGATGCTGTCCTCGCTGACCGTGCGCCGGCTGCCCACCTTGCTGCGGCCCGCCTGGGGGCTGGGCATGACGGGCAGGCTGGCCTGGCTCTCGGATTTCGTCAGCCCAGAGCCCGGCTTCTCCGTTCCCAGCACCTCGATGCTCTCCCCGCTGCTGATGCTGCCCTTGATATCTGCATCCAGGTAGTCCAGGCTCTCCTGGGGCTCAGACACCACGGACTCAGACATTTTGGGTTCTTCAGAGTCATCCATTTCCTGCTCCATCTTGATGGGCACACATTCCACGCTGGATTTGTAGGAGCCCAGGCTGATGATCACTTTGGGAGCAAGGGACTCTTCCGAGCACTTTTCATCTATGGCATCTTGGCCGAGCCCCTGGCAGCCTCTGTACTGTTTTTCGGGAGGTTTTTCATCCAGGAAAGACATGTCCTCAAAGAGGAAGTTGGTGACACTCTGCTGCTTGAGGAGAGCCCGGCTGATCTGCTCTGTCAGCAGGTAACACACATCCCCTCGGAAAGTCCTCTCGATATGGTGCAACTGGTCAAGGGTCTGGGTGAAAAAATAAACATCACAGAGCTCCTCCAGTGTCTTCAGCTTCTTGTCAAAGCACTTGGCAGACTTGGCTTTGATGAGTTTGGGGGTGTAGGATGGCACGTGGGGGTAGAGGTGAGTTTCACCGGGCTCAGAGGCAGTCGGGTCCTGATCGCTGCCCACGTCAGCCCGCTCCAGGGCACACTCTGGCTCGTAGGGGTGGAATTCAGAGTCCCTCAGCTTCCTGTAGGGATAGGACCGGATTTGCCTCAGCAGGTCTTGGTGCTCGATGATCGACTTCTCCACGCTGGCCAGCTCGTTGGCCTTCTCAATGGCCTGGGTTGTGTAGTACCCCTTGTCGTTGGCTTTCTTCTGCTGCTCAGTCTCGTTGTGCAGGACGGTCCTGGTGTAGTCGAGATCTTTCAGTTTCTTTTCCAGTTCGTTGGCAAACGCTTTCCGGTTCCCCGTCTTCAGGCATTCGGAGGCTTTGGAGAACTCGGCGGAAAGTTCCTGAAACTGCTGCATGATTTTGTGCTCGTCAGCAGAAATGTAGGCCATGCAGAAGGGCCTCACAAAGCCCCTGGCCTCCAGGTCGTACAGGGTCAAGTGGTGCACGTAGGCAAAGGCGCCTTCCTTGGAGTCCCCCAGCACCACCTTGGAATCCTCCACAAAGTTCAGCTTGGGGTAGGCAGAGCCGGGAGGGTGCCCCACGAAGGATGCCTGGTAATCCACAGACATGATCCGCAGGGAGAAATAGTTGAGGTCGAAGGTGCCCGACACTTTGGCGTCATCGGGGATGGTCAGGAGGGGCTGGGGCCCCACTTGCTCCGAGAACTCGGAGATGAGGATGAAGTCCCGGGTGAACTTGGAGCCGGCGACCTTGGCCCAGGGGTTGGCGCCCTGGCCGGCGAAGGGGAACAGCGGCACCGAGTACTCCTCGGGCAGGGGCGGCTCGCGGTACAGATCATCCTCCAGCTCCTCCTCCCTGGTGAAGGCCACCACGTCAGGGGCGCTGATCATATTTCCCGCAGGACGGGACCGACATGGAGCAGCGACGCGCCCCCGGTCCCCCCGCCACCGCCGGGCCCCGCGGGAGGCACCGGCGCAGCCCCGGCCCGGCCCCGCCGCTGCCGCAGCCCCGCGCTCCCCTCACGCCGCCGCCATGGCCGGAGCCGCCGCCTCCTCACGGCCCCGCAGCCATCTTGGAGTCACATGACGCGCGGCCTCTGACCCCGCCGGCAGGAAGGAAGAGACGCCACCGCCTCCTCCTCCTCCTCCTCTTCCTCAGCTGGAGTTGTTTATTTTTGCCGACGTCGCGCTTTGTTGTTACCGATCCTGGCACGGGCCCAGCGGCGGCGGGAAAGGGGGAAAACCGAGGCGGAGCGGCGGCGGGCGGGGCGCCGCGGAGCATCTCGGGAGTTGTAGTTCCGTGGCGCCGCCGCGGCTGCGCTCTGCGGCAGGACGTGACGGGGAGGGAGAGCGACAGCGGAGCGCGGGAGCGCTGGGAGGTGAGGGGGAACGGGGGAGAAAAGGGCGAAAAGAACGGGAAAGGTCTGCCCTGGGTAGGGAACAGCCCGAGGGGGGATCGGGGATTACAAGGGGGCTGAGCTGCCCTGGGTAGGGGACAGCCCGAGGGGGATCTGGGGTGGCAAAGGGACAGCCTGAGGGGGGATCAGGGATGGCGGGAAGGCTGCGCTGCCCCAGGTAAGGGACAGCCTGAGGGGGGATCTGGAATTGCGAGGGGACAGCCTGAGGTGGGGAATCAGGGGTGATGAGGGGGCTGAGCTGTCCTGAGTGAGGGACAGCCCGAGGGGGATCTGGGGTGGCAAAGGGACAGACTGAGGGGGGATCTGGGATGGCGAGGGGGCTGCACTGCCCCGGGTAAGGGGCAGCCCGAGGGGGATCTGGGGTAGCAGAGGGGACACCCTGAGGGGGGATCGGGGGTGACGAGGGGGCTGCACTGCCCCGGGTAAGGGGCAGCCTGAGGGGGATCTGGGGTGGCAAAGGGACAGCCTGAGGGAGGATCAGGGTAATGAGGGGGCTGAGCTGCCCTGAGTAAGGGACAGCCTGAGAGGCATCAGGGTGGCAAAGGGGCAGCCCGAGGGGGGACCTGGGATGGTGAGAGGACTGCGCTACCCCGACCATGGGGGAGAGGGCAGCCCCAGCCCCAGCAGGGGAGCACAGGACTGAGGGACACGCTGCGGGACGCCCCGACAGCCGTGCCTGCAGCGGGGTGACACCTTCTCCATCCCCAGGGGCTGCCCTGAGCCCCCGGGGCGGCCGAGCCGTGACAGCGGCAACCTCTCCATCCCCGCAGCACCCAGCCTCGGGAGGCGGAGCAGCAGCAGCAGCATGCCCCGGCCTCGCCTCCTGCGATGAACCTCTCTGTGCGGCTGCTGCCCGGGGCCAGGATGCTGCCCCAGCCCTGGCGCGGCTTCTCGCGGGCCGCGGAGGACGCGGCGCTGCAGAGGATCCGCAAGGTGCTCTGCGTGGCCGAGAAGAACGACGCCGCCCGGGGCATCGCCGAGCTGCTCTCCAACAGGAGGATGCGGCGGGTAGGAACGGCCCGCCCACACGTCGTGCTGCTCCCTGGGGCACCGCGACGGGGCTGGGGAGGGTCTGTGTGTGTGTGTGGCAGCTCAGCTCCAGAGCTTGGCATGGCCACGTCAGCACACTTGGATCTGGTTTTGTCCCTGAACACACGAGGGCACAAGAATGTTCTGTGGACAAACATCTCTTGCCCAAATGTGTTTGGGAGTCTCAGGTCCTTGTGGGTTAATCCAGTGGGAGCTCTGCTCCCTCTGCCTTCCCGTGGTGAGGGCTCCCTGGTCCTTCCTGGATTAGCAGTGTAATACACGGGCTTCAGAAACTGACACCATCCCTTGGCGTGCATTTCCCTGTCTAAAAGCACCAATTCTGCAGCATCAGCAAGTGTCAGGGGTTTACTGGAGGCCACCAAATAAAGCAAACCAGGCTGTGGTTCGGAGAAGAAAAATTCAAATATTTCCACTCCGTGCTGCTGTGGTAACAGTTTGCATAATCACTTCCTGTTTCCAAACTAAGGAATTTCCAAACTAAGGTGCCACTAGACCAGAATCAGTCACTGAGGTTGCAGAAGACCTCTGGGATTGCCAAGTCCAACCCATGATCCCCACCTTGGCAGCCAGACCACAGCACTGAGTGCCACATCCAGTTGCTCCTTGAACACCTCCAGGGGTGGTGACTCCACCACTTCCCTGGGCACTTGCAGTGCTTGATAACCCTTTCCATGAAGAAATTCTTCCTGATGTCCAGCCTGACCCTTCCCTGGGACAGCCTGAGGCTGTTCCCTCTCACCTTGTCACCTGGGAGAAGAGGCTGAGCCCCACATGGCTCCCTTTATTTGAATAAGAGGTGTTATTGAGAACCTGGGTGCTGACAGTCCCAATCAAGACCTCATCCTGCTTCTGTAAAAAAAACCAGGAAATACACAATCTAGAAACTTCCATGAGTCCCAGTTAAGTGGGAGGAAGCCTTGGGGACACTGCTTGTCACTTGGAACAAGATAGGAGATTCTAAACACTGGCCAGCCTCATTAAATAAATCAGTTGCTCATTATTCATGGGGAGATAACCCTGGAAGCACCTTCAGGAATGGTTTAAAATCCTCTTACCTTGGAAATCACCATTTCAGTGCCTCCATAAATGGTACAGGAGATTTCCATCCCCTTGCTGCAATTCCCACTAGCTCCAGTAGCTGCTTTTCCTTTGCCACGTGCCTCTTGTGCTCCATCCCAGTGTGGACAAAGTGGGGCAGGATGGATTTGTTTCCTATTAAAAAATTTAATTTAAAAAAATTAAGAATTTGTGTCATGTGAAAAGCCAGAAACCCAGGAATTCTCCTTTTCTTTCCAGCGAGAAGGGTTTTCCAAGTTCAACAAAATCTATGAATACGACTACCAGATGTTTGGCCAGGTAAGAGTTTTCTCTCAATCTGCTGCTGGATTAATGAAGTACAAATACTAATTAATAAAAGCCATTTGTCAGGAGTTACAAAACACAGCTCCAGCCATTGAGATGTTCTGCCCAAAGATGAGAAAAAGTCAGATGTTGTTTTCTTGGCTCCACCACCTGTTTTGTTGCTCTAAATATTTTAACTTGCTGGTTTTAGGTCAGTCAAAATTACGTTGCTGTTTAGAATTGGGAGCTTCCTACAAAAATTGAGGATAAGGCCATGGAGAGAGCTTGTTCTGATGTATTAATTTTGGTTGCTCCATCCCTGGAAGGTTTCCAGGCCAGGCTGGACAGGGCTTGGAGCAGCCTGGGACAGTGGAAGGTGTCCCTGCCATGGCAGGGGTGGCACTGGATGGGCTTTAAGGTCCCTCCCAACCCAAACCATTCTGGGATTAACAGGAGAAAGGTGTCACTAACCATTTAAATTGAGAGCCAAAGGGAGATTTGGGGGCTGTGGGTAGTTTTTGGTGAGTGATGGGCACTAATTTCCTTGCTGTGTCTCTTGCAGAACGTTACCATGGTGATGACATCTGTGTCAGGACATTTACTGGCTCATGATTTTATCATGCCATTTCGCAAATGGTTGGTACCTCGTGGCCCTGGCAGGAAGGGGAAGGGCTCTGTCACCTCCTGGCCCTCACAGGAGGGGCCTGTCACCTCCTGTTCTCCTCCTTGACACTGCGAGCTCAAAGACAAAGGGGCAGGGAGTGATTCTGACTCAGAGCAGGGTGATGTGTTCCAAATTTTACAGAAAATAGCCAAATTATTGCTTCAAATTCCTGTCTTCAGAGTGCTAAAACCCCCTGAAGACATAATACTGGTTAAAATACATCAAGGCAGACACAGGGAATTCAACTGACTCCAAAATGGGATGGTTTTGTGTTCTTTGTTCAGCTAGGAACTGTTCTGGGAAGCAAGGTGCTTTCTCTGCCTTACCTCCTTTTGTACTCTGGGCTTCACATAGGAGAAGCTGCTTGTTGTCTTCCAGATTTGCTGTTTTCTCTGGCTGGTTTTCATTCTGTTGCTTTTAAATGTTACTCAGCATTCCACGTGAACTCTCTGTTGTCTGAAACAAGGCCTGTAATAAAATACATTAATTCCAGTACGTAGAGAGCACCAGGTAGTGTCTCACAAACAGTGTTTTAGTTTAATGTGATGCACACACACGTTTCTCCTCTGTTTTCCAGGCACAGCTGCAACCCTTTAGCTCTTTTTGATGCTGAAATTGAGAAGTATTGCCCTGAAAATTACCTGGATATCAAGGTACATCATGGTTAAGACTTTGAGCTCAGCGGTTGGTTCAGCAAATCTGTCCCAGACTGAAGGACAGATCAGCATCCTTCTGTCCCAGACTGAAGGATGATCTTACTTTTGTCTGTGACATCCAAATTTCTGCAGTTTAGGAGATTCCTCCTACATTTCTTAGGACTGTATATGCTGTTCATTTGTGGCACTGAAACTCTTGCTCATGTACAAGTAGTGCAGTGAAGAAGCAGCTAAAAATAGAAATGTTTTTTTCCAGCAAGGTGGAATTGATGATTGTGACTCAGTTTTACAGAAAAAGACATTTTTAGAAAACAGATTGTGGTACAACCTGCTCCAAGCCAAACTTTTTAACAGAATTATATGTAAATAAATGAGTCAATTCTTTTAAAAGCTGCCTGATCTCTCGAGACACACAATTACAAAATATTATTGCAACAACCCATCTCCATGGATACACATTGCATTTTGTGTTCAGTGAGTCATTCTGAAATAAAATGACAGAGCCAGTGGCCTGGAATGTTCTCCCTGAGTTGTTTTTCTCCTCTCAGAGAACCCTTGAACGAGAAATCCAGCAGTGCCAAGCCCTGGTGATCTGGACTGACTGCGATCGAGAAGGAGAGAACATTGGCTTTGAGATCATCCACGTGTGCAAAGCTGGTGTGTAGAGCATCTTCATCACCATTAATTAATTAATTTAACAACTCCTTTAGCAAAGGCAAATTCTCAATTTTTATGTGTCCAGGTTAAATGCTGACTAATTCTAATAAACATGTGGCTGTGATAGAAATGCACCCAGCTGTTGGAACGCTGTAGAATCAGTTGACACCACACTCTCTCAATATCTGTGTATTAGTTGCTCCTTTTGGTTGGTGTTTGAGTCCCTCTGATTTCTCCTGTGTGTGTGTCTGCAGTGAAGCCAAACCTGCAGGTTTTCCGAGCGCGCTTCTCCGAGATCACACCGCACGCTGTCAGAGCAGCCTGTGAGAACCTCACCCAGCCCGACCAGAAAACCAGCGATGCCGTCGACGTCAGGCAGGAGCTGGACCTCAGGATAGGCACGTAAACCTCAACACAAGGCAGAAGTGCCCTCTGTAGTCTCATAAACCTGATTTTTAGAGCAGATATGACTAAAAGGCATCTTGTGTTTTACTGGAAGTGTGCTCTTTGAATCAGAGCATCATCAGCTCCCAAGACCGAGTCCAGCCAGTGACTGATCCCTTCCTGGTAAACCAGACCAGAGCACTGGATACCTGTTGTTTGTTGAACATCTCAAGGGATGGTGACTCTACCACCTCCATGGGCAGTCCATTCCAATGTTTAAAGGCCTCTTCTGTGAAGAAATTCCTCCTTGAAGCAAATATTAATGTTATAGCTCATGCAGCACTGACAAGCTTCTTCAACTGAGTATTAAACGGAGTAAAATTAATGCTCAGAATATTAAAAATATCTGAAGTACTGTGATTATCACTCAGCCTTGTTGTATTCATTTGTGGTGCCCATTCTGTTTCCTCAGGTGCTGCCTTCACCAGATTCCAGACTCTGAGGCTGCGGAAGATCTTCCCTGATATTTTAGCAGATCAGCTGATCAGCTATGGCAGCTGCCAGTTCCCAACACTGGGATTTGTAGTTGAACGCTTCAAAGCCATCCAGGCATTTGTTCCTGAAGCCTTCTACAAAATTAAAGGTATGTTTGGGGAAACACAGTCCTGGGCTCCATCTTTGAGGGTTTGATGTGCATAAAAAGGAAAAACGTTGGAGCAACTGACACAAAAACGCTCCAGAGATTATTTCATCTTCCTCTGCCACAACCAGTTAGCAGAGCTGGAAGGTTTCCAAGTTCCTTTGTGGTATTTCCATTTTGTGGCTCCTCCATCAGCCAGCTCTGTTGTCCCTCGCAGTGACCCACGACCATGAGGACAGCAGCGTGGTCTTCAACTGGAAGAGGAACCGGCTCTTCAATCACACAGCGTGCCTGGTCCTTTACCAGATGTGTATGGAGGTAGGAAAGCTTGTAAATAGCTGCAGAATCCAGATTCAGCCAAACAGTCCCTGTATCTGTCTTGCTCAAGACTTTGAAAGAGCAGTTTGTGTAAACTCCTAAAGGATATGTGGGTTTTGCTTACTCTGTTTAGGATCCGGTAGCGACTGTTGTTGATGTTGTGAGCAAGCCAAAGAGCAAATGGAGGCCCCTGCCCCTGGACACTGTGGTATGTTTGAACTCTGGGATGGGTTTTTCTGAAAAGAGCTTTGAACAGATGTTTTACTCACTGCTTTGAATTATCCACTAATACTTTTGGGTTTTCTGGCTCTTCCCAATGAAGGAACTGGAAAAATTGGCTTCCCGCAAACTGAAAATAAATGCAAAGGAAACAATGACAATAGCAGAAAAACTCTATACCAAAGGGTAAGAAAGCAGGACTTGGCTTAGTAAACTTAATTCTTCTACAACTAAATGGCCTTTTGTTCAAAATGGGAAGCATCTTGGAGCAACTCTTAAAGTGCTCTGCTGTCTTTCTTCCTAAGGTTCATTAGTTACCCTCGAACCGAGACCAACATTTTCCCCAAGGAGCTGAACCTCTCTGCCTTGGTAGAACAGCAAACACAGGACCCAAACTGGGGAGGGTTTGCACAGAGGATTTTGGATCAGGGTGGGCCAACCCCTCGGAGTGGAACCAAATCTGATCAGGCTCACCCTCCCATTCACCCCACAAAATACACCAGCAACCTGCAGGTGGGTGTAACCAGAGGGAACTGGATGGGTTGTGTTACTTGATAAATAAAGATAAAATCTTAACGTGGTCAGTAGCACAAAATCCTCATCTGAGATCCCCCTGATTTTGTGATGTCTTGTTAACCTGGGAGGACACTCACCCTTCTCACTGTTTGATCTCAGGGCAATGAGCAGAGACTCTATGAATTCATCGTGCGCCACTTCTTGGCTTGCTGCTCTCAAGATGCCAAAGGACAGGAAACAACCGTGGAGATCGACATTGCCAACGAGCAATTCATTGCTCAAGGACTCATGATCCTGGCCAGAAATTACCTGGAAGTGTATCCTTATGACAAGTGGAGTGATAAGGTAATCCCCTTGAGTAACACAAGTGGGAGAGGCTAAAGTAGCACTTCACTGCCAACTTCAGACCTCTCTGCACAACATCTTTTGACCATTTCTGGCTGTTTGACTCAGAGCCTTTGTCCTGAGTGAATGGACCAGGAAGCATTTTCAAAGAGACTCTCCTTCCCTTCAGGTTATCCCTCTGTATCAGAAAGGATCTCGCTTTCAGCCCACCACAGTGGAGATGGTGGATGGGGAAACCAGCCCTCCCTTGCTCCTCACAGAAGCAGATCTCATTGCTCTCATGGAGAAACACGGCATTGGTCAGTACTGGGCAGCATGGCCTCTTGCTCTTGGCAGAGGGAATTCTCCCCAGGGAATTCTCCAAATGTTGCTGCAGATAAGAAATTACTTAAATGTGCAGAAAAAAGATATATAAAGGGCAAAGTCCAAACATCCTCAGGAGCCTGCAGAGTGCCTCCAGTACCCAGGGAGGTGGGAAATTTTGGGTTCAGGGTTTGCCACCAGCGCCTCACTGGCCTCAGTGCCAGCAGGGCACAAAGGCAGTGCTGCTCCTCACCATAAGTTGTGTCTTTGTCCCTGGGCATAGGGGAAATAACTTCTTGGCTCCTGATTTGACTGACCTCTCCCTGCTTCCAGGCACTGACGCCACCCACGCCGAGCACATCGAGACGATCAAGACGCGGATGTACGTGGGGCTGACGGCATATCAGCGCTTCCTGCCCGGCCAGCTGGGCATGGGGCTGGTGGAAGGTGAGGAGAGAGTCCTCACAAAGATGGCAGAGTCCTTACTGGCTCCTTCCTTTCACTTACCATTCCACATATTCCTCAGGATATGATTCCATGGGCTATGAGATGTCCAAGCCTGACCTTCGAGCTGAGCTGGAGGCTGATCTGAAACTGATCTGTGAGGGGAAGAAAGACAAATCTGTAGTGTTGCAGCAGCAGGTCCAGAAGTACAAGCAAGTCTTCATTGAAGCTGTGGCCAGAGCCAACAAGTGAGTACTGTCTTTGTCCTCTTCCTTTTGCTTTGTTTTGCTGGGAGGTGCTGGCTGCTCTTCTGGGGCTCAGTCTGGAGTGGGGGATCCTTTCACACCATTTCCCTAAAGCTCTGCCCCCTGTGTTGTGATATTTGTGTGGGAAAGGATGACTCAAAGCCTGGCATGCTGTCAGGAGTTCCTCCCAGCTAAGGGTTTAAACCAGGATGAGCAGTTCAGATTAAATTTGGGGATGGCAACATGCACTGACCTCTGATGCTGTGCCCACACTTTTCCTGCTCCAGAAATGTGTGCTGAGTCAATGTGCTCCTGGAGGAGCTCAGAGGGGCTGTGTGGGGGGCAGCAGGCTCTGAGTCACTGATTGCTCTTTGCAGAGACACACAGGATGCTCTGCTGGTTTCTTTACAGGTTGGACCAGGCCCTGGCTCAGTATTTGGGAGAAGCTGCAGAAGTTCCAGAGCAGGAGGAGGTGTACCCAGCAACGCCCCTTTCTGTACGGAAATGTCCCCAGTGCAACAGTGACATGGTGCTGAAGACCAGGAAGAATGGCGGGTTGGTGACCTTCCCTCTTGTAGCCTTCTGTGCTAGTTTGTGTTTCTCCAGGCTTTCATTTACCTCCTTTGGTAAAAGCTTGGAAACCTTGGGCTGCAGCTTGCTGACTCCACCAGCTACTTGAGCTGTGTGGACTCAGCTGAATCTCTTCTCAAGTAGGTATTTCCCCTGTAAAATTGCAGTTTTGACAATTTCTGATGGCTGAGAAGGCATGAGAAAGAATCCCCAATTGTCTTGAGTTTGCCTCTTCCTCATCCAGTGCCTTTGTCCCTTGGCAGGTTCTACCTCAGCTGCATGGGCTATCCAACCTGCAGAACTGCAGTCTGGTTCCCTGATTTTGTGGTGGATGTGACCAGGGACGAGAGCATCTGTGATGTGTGTAAACCCCATCCAGTTCACAGGTAGGTCATGCCAGTTCTCCCTTGTTGGACATTGGGGCAGAGACTTCCAAGGGCTAAGCTGGGCAACCATTTTCCATTCCAGTCTTGGAAAGCTGGAGTAGCACTTGGCTTGGGGATGGAAAAAAGAGGGGTTGGGGAAACTGGCCTCCATGTAGCAGAGTCAAAACAATAAATAAAAGTCCAAGTATAAATTGAGGTCTGTTGATGAGAATCTGGCAGACTTTGACTCTTGCTTTCCTTGCAGACTGAAGTTTAAATTCAAGAAGGGCAGCGTTCCCCCTGTGATGCCCCTGGAGTTCGTTGGCTGCGTTGGAGGCTGTGATGAGATGCTGAAAGAGCTTTTGGACCTCAAGTACTCACACAGATCATCCCAACCTGCACCATCCAGCACCCAGCCAGGGCATCACCTGCAGGCCAACCACTCCCTGAACAGAGCCAGCAGTGAGACCAGGCAAGCCAGGGGGACCTCAAACATGGCACGGGGACACCTGCTCTCCATCAACTCCTCCAGGACCCCCAGGGCTGCTCCTGCAGCTGCCCCAGACGATGGCAATGCCGTGGTGTGCAACTGTGGGAGCGAGGCGCTGCTGCTGACCGTGCGCAAGGACGGCCCCAACAAGGGCCGCCAGTTCTACAAGTGCAGCTCCAGCACCTGCAACTTCTTCCTCTGGGCTGACGAGCAGCCACAGGACAGAGGCAGCTCCACGCTGCTCCAGCCAGCTGCTGGAAGAACCCCAGTGGGATTGCAGCACGCAGGAGGAGGGAGAGAGCCCTTGGGCAGCAGCAGCTCGGACGCTGGCGGGGGCGCGCTGTGCAGGTGCGAGCAGCCCGCGGTGACGCGCACCGTGCAGAAGGACGGGCCCAACAAGGGCAGGCAGTTCCACACCTGCCCCAAGCCCCGGGAGCAGCAGTGCGGCTTCTTCCAGTGGGCAGATGAGAACGTGGCACCAGGTATGGCTGGGCTGGGGGCACACACCAGGGCTGCAGGTTGCTCCTAAGCTGAGCAAAACAAGGAGCTGCTGGAGGAGGTCCAGTGGAGGCCACAGAGATGGTGGGAGACTGAAGCATCTCTCTGACTGAGGGAGCTGGGCCTGTTTAGTCTAGAGAAGAGAAGATCTCATTAATGCATGTAAATATCTCAGGGAAGGGTGGTGCCAGGCTTTTTTTGGTGGTGCCCAGTGACAGGACGAGGAGCAATGGCCAGAAACTAAAACACAAGAAGTTTGACCTCAGCACGAGGAAGAACTTCTTTACATTAAAGGTGGCAGAGCTCTGGAACAGCTGCCCAGGGAGGTGATAGTGTCCCTCTCTGGAGACATTGAAACCCACCTGGCATGCCAGGGAAACTGTGATGCTCCCTCTGCCCTAGTTAAGGGGTAAAGGGAAAGGACAAGTCATTCTGGAGCTTTGATCAGAGATGAAACTGTGTGGAAAGATGATGAAAACAAAAATAATGACAAGGATGCAAAAGAGAGAGAACTGACAAAAAGGGACATAATAGATACAGAGGAGGAGATGTGGTCTGTGAGACATCCTCCTCTTCTTCAGACATTTGGGCCTAAAGGGGTAAAAATCAAGTTTTCAAAACTACTTAAACCCCAAGTTCTTCTCTGCCATGTTTTGTTTCTGCTTCAGCTGCAGACCAGAGCATGCAAGCAGGCAGGTCAGCTTGTCCTGTGTTATTCCCATATGGCTCTAATGCTGCAAGATAAATGGGAAAAATGAAAAGAACATTTCACAGTTCAGACAAGTCTGAAGCAAGTGCAGGTCCAGGAATAATCTAGAATCTTTGATCTATTTTGAATTTACCTTGTGTTTCTCACCTATTTATGCTTTCAACGATCCTTAAATTCAAGTTGTTTATCTCTAGGCCCTTCTGGAGATGACTCTCTGAACCACTTTGGCAGCAATGGATACTCCAGAGGGTTGGGAAGCAAGGCCAAGAGACCAGGCAACCTCTCCTCAGCATCTTCTGCCAAGAAGCCACGGACCTGCAGCATCTGCCACCAGCCTGGGCACACGAGGAAAACCTGTCCTCAGAACCACTGAGCTGGGATGGACCTCAGAGTCTGCAAGGGTTGGGAACTCTGCAGAGCCACGAGGAACTGGACTTTGGGAACAAGTCCCTTGAGAGTTTTTTGGAGGGGCTGGTTGCAGGCTGCTCCTGCCAAGGGATGCCATTTGTTTCAGCAAGGGTTCAACCAGCTTGGAAAAGTGGTTCCACTATCAGGTTTTGTTTCCAGCTGCTCTTCTGCTGAGCAGTTTGGGAAAGTCTGAACATTTCAATAAGCACTTGGAAGCTGAGTCTGTGGAGAAAACTGCACTGCACCATCCTGGTGTTCCTGGCCTCTCCGTGCAGGGAAGAGCTGGATCAGGGCACCAGGACAGACACCAGGGCCAAGCTCTGCTCAGTCTCTGGCTTTCCACAGTGTGGAATTTAAGTTCCCTTCTCAGTTGATGTTACCTGAGCAACATTCCCCATTTCTGTCACCCTTACCTGGCTTGTCCCTGCCAGTGAAGGAGGGTCAGGTGCAGAGGAGCTGGATCTGGTGCTTGCCCTGGGAGGAGCTCAGCTGCAGTGCTCAGGAAGAGCCCTCATTTTAGATGGTTCCTGAATTTGAAGGCAAGTTCTTCCTCAAACTTTGAGACATGCCTTTGTGATGCTGCTAGCTGATGAAAGTTATTTTTGTCAAACTAATGAGTTTCTTATTAAAATATTATTTAAATTTTAAATTTGATGCAGTGACACTTTAGCTTTCCCTAATTATTTCTTCCTACATAAAATAGTGAAGCTTCTACTGTAAAAGCATCCAGCCAAATCTTGCTCTTTCCAATCACTGGAACAATAGAGGAGCTTTCTTGGCAGAAACTCCCACAGCAATTTAGAAATGAGCTACAAAGAGATGGAAAAAAGTTTTTATCTCACCAGCTGCATCTGCTGACCTGGGACAGACAGACAGAGCTGGCTGAGCTGAAGAGAAGCTCTGTTTTCCTGTTCTGAGTTCAGAATGAACTCCCTGGGAAGCCAGGCTGCCTCTTCCCTCTCTGTTGGGGCTTCCTGTGTCCATCAAAGGAGGGAGTCTGCAGGATTCCTGTGTGCTGTGCTGCCAGGAGCTCCAGTGCTGCTCAGGATCCTGCACGGAGCAGTTCCTGGGGTCAGCACTGAGGGGATGGGCTGGAGCACTTGGAGGGCAGCTGGAAGCAGAGCCCACAGCAGCACAGGTCTGAAAGAGAGCCTGAAACCCTGCAGCAGTCCATTGCTATCAGGCCTAAATCCATGCAGAAAGTCAGGAGAATTTGGGTTGCATTTCCCTGTAGCCCTCACTCCCACCATCAACAGCCGTGGCCTAAAAATACCCACCCTGGGCTAAAAAAACAGCATTACAAGGCTTGGGAATGCAGTCACTGAGCCAGGGCAGGGCAGCAGCCACCTTGGAATGGCAACAGCAGTGGGAAGCAGCTGTGCAGCACACAGGGAGCAGCTTAAACCCTGCTGGTGGATCAGCCAGGACCAGCTTTAGGAGTCTCAGCTGAGCCCTGTCAGTGGTACAAGCTCAGTATCCAGACAGCTCCCACACTGCAGCCAGGCACTCTGTGGGTCCAGGGCTTTGGAAGAGGAGGAGGAAGACTGCAGGATGGGATCTGACCATCACCAAGCTCTCCAGGCAGCAGGGACACACCCTGGGTGGGTCCCAGGAAGGCCAGGGAATCATTTCAACCCTTAGCAGGGGAAAGCAGACAAAGGAGAGCTGACACCAGAGAACCAGTGCGCACAGGGAAGGTTTATTCTCATCACTAACACCTGGGAAGTGGTTTGGAGGAACAAAGGAATTGTCAGACTGGGAGGAAAAGCAGGTTTTTTCCCTCCCATAAACAAGATGATAGCTGTAAAGAAAACTAAACCACAACAGCTGCTCACAGTGAAGTCCAAAGGATTTCTCCAGCTCCACCCGCGTGCAAAACCAGCTCTTCCCATTAAATATAAGAATAAACTGCTTTTCTCTGGGACTAGAGCCAGACCAAACCCTACTAGCAGCCACTCAAAGGAAAAGAAAAAACCAACAAAATACCCAAACAAAATATATCTTCTTAATAAAAAGCAGAAACCACTTCAGTTCTTGCAAGCACTCTGCTCACAACATCATTCCTGCCCTCCTTCCCCACCCCATTCCGTGGGGCTCCAGGGAAAAAGGACCTCAAGACAGCAGCAATACATGTGTGAAAAGGTGACCAGACAGACTGGGAGGGGACAGGGACCTGCAGACAGACACTGGCAGCCACCCACCCACTGGGGAGGGGAAACAGCTTCCAGCTGAACCAAGAGTTTCCCCAGAGCCAGCAGCTCTTTCTCAGGACATCTTCCAGCAAAACACTGCATGGGACAAGGGCCCCTTCTTTGGGGCAGCATCAACACTGTCAGAACAAAGAGGCAGGGCAGAGCTCACCCCTTCTGGCAGCTGGAAGAGTCTCCAAGGAATAAACCCCCCTTTGCTATGGCTGTACCATCCAGCACCCAGGTCATCCACAGGGCTTGTTTTGGATTGGCAAAATCCTACAGGTGGGTGAGGCTCCCCCTGCCCCGAGTGCTGGCACAGTGAGGCCACGCAGGGTGCTGGTGACAGGACCAACCCAGGACGTGGCACCTGAGGGGTCTGCAGGACACAGCAGCAGGAAGGGGCTGCTCCCCTCCAGCTCCAGCTGGTCTCAGAGCCTGAGGGGAGCCTGACAGCTGGGACAGGCAGAGGACACTGGGAGCCAGGGACCAAACATGCTTCACTGGGCTCCCAGCAGACAGAACTCACGTGTGTGGTGTGGGCTGCCCTCACCCCGGGTTCAGCAGAGCCTCTGAGCCAAAGGCTCCTTCTGCCAGCACCCACCTCTGCTCAGGCACGTTTTAGTCACACAGGAAATGTTTTTTTTTCCCTCATAAAGTGCAAGAACTTTGCCTCTTACTGACTAGTCAACTAGAAGCATCACAGCCCTCACAGCAGGGAGCAACACCCCATGTTCAGGAGCTCCCAACACACCGGTCACTTCAGCAGGACCTCTGGCTCAGATATGGCCCTGTAGAGCACAAAGCCCATCTCATCAATTTCCTCTTCCAACAGCCCGGAGAACAGGTTGACTTTGGGGTTGAAATAGGAAGGCAGGACTCCTTTCTCCAGGGAGGCCACCAGCTCCTCAAGCACCTGCTGGAACCTGTCGGCGAGGCTGTCCTCTGCCCAGTCCGAGGCAGTGTCACTGAGGTGCAGGATGGCGTGGGTCACGGGGCTGCCCCCCAGTTTGTGCAGCCTGGGCTGGCTCTTGCAGACGCCGTTCAGGATGCGGAGGCAGAGCTGCCGAGCCCCGGAGTCACCAGCATCCAGCTCCTTCACCCTCGAGACTGCCGCCCTGTCAAAGCTCTCCAGCCACAGGTTTTCCACCAGTCCTTCGGGAGGAACAGCCAGAAGAACCTTGCCCTCCATTTCCACCACTGGGAAGAGGGTGATGCTCAGATCAACCTGATCGTGTTTGACTTCCAGCTTCAGCTCCCGGGAGGCCACGACGGGGTGGATGGCACAGCCCAGCAGGCCACCGATGGCAGGCCAGTTGATGGAGGCCACCAGCAGCTTGTGGAGGGTCTCGTTGAGCACGCTGGAGGAGAGGTACCGGCCCACAATGAACCTGTCCCAGGGGCTGCACCCACGAGGGAAATACCCCAGATCGATCCTCTTGATCATCCAGTACTGGGGATTCCTCACCACGGTGTCCTCTCCTGAGATGAGGCTCCAGAGCCCGGCGTCAAGGACCACTGGGAGCATGAGGTGGACGTGGTCAGCTGCCAGGACCTCGAGGCCATCAAGGAGAGCTCCGCTGAGGAAGAGGCGGCCGAAGGGCAGCTCTGGGAACTTGCTCCTCAGGAAGTTCTGCAGCTGGGTGCAGATGCTCCTGGCCAGCTGTGGGACGAGGGACACTTGGATCTCGGGCACGGCCAGCTGGCTGCTGTGTGAGAGGAGCTTCTCCTGCAGCGTGAGGCAGCGCAGGGGGCTGGGCTTGACCTGAGGAGCCCCCAGGGGAGCAGAGGAGCCCCTGGGATCTGTGAGAAGGGAAAGGAGAAGTCACAGCTCTGAGCACATCATCTGAAACCCTCAGCAGCACAAGTTGGGTGCCCAGCTCTCAGCCCATCCCTCTGGAGGTAACATCAACCTCACCAAGGGCCCCCACTGAGCACACTGATGTTAACAGCACTTCTCAGCCATGCAGAGCCCAAACCACCCCCAAAACCTGACTGTTCCCAGCCTCACTCCTCAGCCAGGGATGGGAACCAGGCAAGGCACTTGCTGCCAGGGTCAGAGAATCACAGAATATGCTGAGTTGGAAAGGACCCACAAAATCATCCAGTCCAACTCCTGGCCCTGCACAGACACCCCAATAATCCCACCCTGTCCCTGAGAGTGGTGTCCAAACACTCCTGGAGCTCTGGCAGCCTTGGGGCTGTGCCCAAACACCTTCTGGGGGAAGAACCTTTTTTCTAATATCCAACCTGAACCTCCCTGACACAGCTCCTGCTGCTCCCTCACATCCTGTCACTGGTCAGAGAGATCAGTGCCTGCCCCTCCACCTCCTCACACGAGGATCCTGCAGACAATCCTGCTCTGGGTCCATTATCTCAGGACATGCCCTGGACCCAGCTGGGCCAGTTTCCCACTTGGAAAAACGCCATCTCCATGGGCAGCTGGACAAGGCAGCCTTTGTCTGCAGCAGCTCCCGAGCACACCTTCCTGCAGGCACAGCTGACCCAGAAAACGAGCACAGCCAACGCTGCTCCAGAGGAAACAAACCCCGACAGCCCCTGCCAGGACACCCTGGCTGTCACCAGAGGTCCTGTTTCCACAGGCATTGCCTAAAAAGGGGCTGTGGCTCGGGAGCCTCCCAGAGGGCAGGCTCAGTGGGGTCAGCTTTCTGGACACCGAGCTAAAAATACCGCGGAGCTGCGGCACAGCGGAGCACACCAAGGTGATCCCCTGGCTGGGCACCACAGCCTCACCTGGCACCAGGGGCCCAGCTGGAGACAGCAGGGGCTCGCTGAGGTCTTCCCTTCTCTGCTTCTTGGGGGGTTTTGGTGTTGTCTTGATTAATGGTAAATCCTGCCAGCTCTCCTCCAGGGATTTCTGCTCAGCTTTGGGATCGCCCTCATCCCGAGGGCTGGTGGCTCGGTCGATCAGCTGGAGGGAAGGAAAACACAAGAGGACAGGACGTTATCTTTGTTTTCCATGAACTGAGGGTGACAACAGCCCCTCTGGAGCACACACATGGGGGGACAGCCTCACTCAAGGCTTCTGCTCAGAAAAACACCCAGATTGGGGGGCAGCCACAAACATGCACATTGTCGTCATGCAGGTGGAAAACAGATATTTTTTTTACATGGAAAACAGACACCTAAATACAACTTAAGTCCTTTTTGGGATGGGATAGTGTATCCCAAATGCTCCAGGCAAACAGGGATACGTGGTCCCACAGGGTGGGAGCAGGCAGCTCCATGCCCATGGCCAGAACTGGTGGCATTTCTGCCAGGTGGGAGCAGGCAGCTCCATGCCCATGGCACTGCCACCGGCACTGGTGGCGTCTGTGCCGTATGCAAGAAACCATCTCAGGAGCAAACATCGAGATTTGGGGCACATCTTGCCCCACCACTGGGGCAAAGCCAACTCCCCTGGGCATCTTCTGGTGCTCTGCTCCCCACTGCAGCCTTA